CTTTTTTGTCTCTTCGATGATCTGCTTGTCTTCCATGTGGAGATTGGAAGTTTGACCTTGTTGGGGTGGAGATGTTTAGTCCTCCAAAGGGTGGGGGAGGACTTCTGGGTGAATTAGGGGCCCTGGAATTGGGAGGGGGTGGGAGAAAGTTTTCCTCCCTAGTGCTAAGCTGGTTCTGATGTTCTGGGCTGTCCTACAGAGACCTCGTGGACATCACAAAATCTTTCTTCCTGCCAGCATCCGTTAGGTACCTAGGTGGTACAGGATCCTGGGAGTTACCGAGTCCAAGAGGAGCCTAGGCCTGATTTACACACCTCTGGTGATGTGGAGCTCACTGCCTTCTGAAGCCTCCCCTTCCATGCAGGGCTGTGGCATGCCTCTTTCCTAGACGGCACCGTCAGCCTCCCTGGTGCTTCCTCCCGCCTATCCCAGCCTGCCCTGCACCCTCGGTGCATGTTTAAGTCTGAGTCTTCCTGACAGCCTCCCATCTGTTCTGCTTCAGGCTGGCCCCCTCCCACCCATCTTCCCCTATGAACCCGGGGGACAGTCCATCTGACCATCTCACTCTTCTGCCCTAAGTCTTCTATTGGCTCTATGTTGTCCCCTGGAGATGGCCAGCTCCTCATAGGACATCCGAGGCCCTTCGGGTAGAAGCCCAGGGAGCTTCTGTGCATTCACCTCACCTTGCCCGCTCCCACCGCTCTCCAGCCCCAGCCTCTAGCCACACCCAACCTCTCTGTTCTCAGAATAGACAGGAGTCTTTTTGCCTCCAGGTCTTGGCACACAGGGGTCTTCCTGCTGGGAGTACCCAAACCCCCTTTCCCCCACTCCGAGACCCAACTCAGCCTTTGTGCCCTCCTCTAGGGAAGGTTTCCTGCCTTCTTGCCCTCCAGGGTTGGGGGTGGGGGGCAAATCACTCCCTGCACCTCATGAGTGCTCACCACCCACTTCGTTCCACTCTGCATTGTCACTGATGTCTCTCCCTGCCCACCTGTGGGCTCCCGAGGTCAGTGGCCAAGAATTTTTACCATCAGATCCCAGTGCCCAGGCCAGGTAGGTGACAAGAGGCCCTCAGCAGACCCTTTATATAAAGCATTCAGCACAATAATGGGCATATTGTGAATTTCAAATCAACAGAAGCTGCTCTTATTAATAGTTAATAATAACAGTTATTATCCTTCCAGCCACCCAATACGGTACTGTTTAAGAGACGGGAAAACCAAAGCAAGAAGAGGGGGAATGACTGTCCAAAGTCACACAGCTGGGAACCGCACCACTAGAACCAGCTTTTCTCCATCACATCACGCTGCCTTCCTAACTGGGCCGGCAAGCCCATTTCTCCATCCATTCAGGAAATATTTATGCACACCTACTAAGCGCCAGGCCCAGTGTGAATGCTACAGGTACAGGTGAGACCCTGCCCTCATGGAAGGTACTGTTTCCTGGGGAAGAGAGATGAACTAAGTATGCACACAAATTCATATATAAATCACAAATTGTGCTCTCTGGTAGGAAGGAAACGTCAGGGTGCTGTAAAACCATGACTTGGTCCTGGGGTGACCCAGGTGAGGAAGCTTCTAGCTAATCTGGTTAACTCTTTGCTGTCCCAGGCAGCTAGAGACCACCCCTCCAGACCAGCTTGGGGCCTGGAGGAGGGGGCCAGATGCAGCCCCCTGGCACCCCCCTGACCCCCACGCTGACTTTCCAAGTCCCCACCCCCACCTTGTCTCTTTGAAGACTGTCCCTTTACAACTGCCCTTTCCACCGAAGGATTCAGACACAAATTGTACTTTAAATTCAATATCGGTCATTAATATTTCATGATTACAAAACGTTAAAGATAATGTCAGTGGAAGGAGCGTCTGCATGGGCAGAATGGATGACTCAGACGTTCGGAGAGAGGGGAGCTGGCATACTAAGTGGTTTGGGAGTCTTTGAGGTAATCCAGGATGACAGGCGGTGGCTCCGGCTGGCCAAGCGCTGCCTTCTCCGAGGTGCTCGCAAAGCTTGGCCGCTCTGTGTAAATATTTCTCCTCTGATTCTCGTCACCTCATGTTTGTTATGCCCGGAGCAGGTGGGGCGCCAAGACCCCGCCACTGTCCCTTGTTTCTGAGGAAGCCAAATGGATTCTTCAGCAGGAGGGCATGTGCTGGCAGACCCATGGGCATTGCACTTGGGGCCCCAGCTGGCTGCTGGCAGCCCTGGCCCTCTGTGGACTTGCTCTGTGACCTCAAGGCCATCACTGGTCCTTCCTGAGCCTCTATTTCCTCATCTGCAAAGTGGAGATAATAATTCTGTCTTTGTCTCACTGAGATGGCAAGAAGCTGGAGTAGGTGGATTATTTGTGACGTTCCTGGCTTCGTGGCCGGCACCAAAGACATACAACTTGAGGGGCATCTGGGTGAGAGCTGGGCTGTGGAGTCAGACAGTCTGGGGCTGGGAATTTGGACAAATGACTTCACCTCCCTGAGTCTTAGTTTCCTCATCCACACATTGGGGATAATGGCAGAATTGACACCTGATAGGTGGGAAGATTCAATGAGCACATCACTGTAAAGTGCCTCGCACAGATTTGGTGCTTAAGTCAAGTGCACAGAGTCAAGATCAATAGAGCCCATTAACTGAGTACTTACTAAGTACCAGGCTAAGTTATTTCTGTGCATTATCCTATTTAATCCTCCCAGCAGTACTGTGAAGTGGGAACCATTCGTTTTCCCATTGGTTAATATCCCCAGTGAAAGGTGGGCAGGTGTTGTGAATTGCAGCTCAGAGGGGAGTGGTCTTTAGCCCAGCCACCAGTCTTTCCCTTTCGGAGATTCATCTCCTTCCTCACGCCCAGTTGGGGATGGTCAATTTCTGGGGATGGTGGCGGGGATAGGAGTGGGGCCCAGAGAGCCGAGTACTGGGAAAAGGGAAGCCATGTAGCAAAGCTGTGGAGGGAACCAGGTAGACCTATTCTAAATCCCAGCTCTGCCACTGCACATCCTTGGGCAAATCTCCTAATGCTCTGAGCCTCGATTTTCCCACCAGTAAAATGGGTGCTGATCTGTAACTGGTCATGATTCAGTAAAAATATGTGCTACAAAGCATCTAACTCAGAATACCTATTAGGTAAACACTGTAAAATGTTTGTGGGGGAGAGTCCTCCCTCCTCTCCCCCCACCTCTCACCTGTGAAATGGCAGCATTACAGACTTTGTACGCTGCTCTGGCAGTTCTCTGAAGGAGACTCACTGGCTAGAAGCACAATGCTTAACCCAAGAAGGGATCTGCTGGGGTGGGCCGTCAGGTGGTGTGACAGGCTGGTGGGGGAGATGTAAATGTGGGTAGGGAGAGGAGGCATCTCTGCCCAGCAGCCCAGTCATTCCCCCTGGCTGCCCAGGGAGCAGGTTCAGGGAGGCAAGGAGGGGGAGCTCTCTTCCTGCCAGTCCAGCCACCACTTCCTCTCCAGCCACCTTTGTTATCTCCCTTTCATGCGGTGGAGAAGTGGATTCAAAGGCTCCGGAGCAGCAGGCACTGAGGTTTGAGCCAGCTTTGTATTTTCTTTTAAACCAAAGTTGAAAGAGACGAAGGGAACTTCAGCCGAGGGACTTCCTCGGCTGGAAGGGGCTGGTGGGGCCCGGGAAGTCGGAGGTGGCATCAGGGGGAGGAGGAAGAAGGCCACCAGGAGGGCTCGAAGGGGCAAGAGGAGCTTGGGCCCAAGGCATGAAGAGGGGAGTTTGAATGGTGCCCGCCGGAGGCTCAGAGACTCCCGAGTATTCCTGTTGTCACCATTGCTTACTGGCGGCTCTGCTGGCTCCTGAGACCTTGAGAGCTGACAGGGAGGGGGAGCCTGGAGAGCAGGTCCCGGCAGTGGCAGGGGCAGCACTGCTCTGGTTGTGGAGGGGGCCTGGGGCTGCACGCCCCCATGCTTTTAGCTCGTCACCTCCATGGCCTGACTTGTCTGGATCCCGTGTCTCAGGGCCCCCCTCTTTCACTCTCAGCTCACACGCCCCACAAGCTGCACCAAAATGCCTGTGACACACACGCACATACACACTCTTCTAGAAACTCAGGCTAAGCACCTTGGAGTCATCCTTGACCCCTCTCCATTTCCCCCGTCCACATCATCTCATCAGCAGGTCCTGCGGGCTCTAACATCAGCCTGTCTCCCTAAGCTGACCATTTCTCACCTCCTCCAAGGCTATCACCCTGGGCCAGGCCATGGTCTCATCTTCCTGGCACTGTCACCTGTAGCTTTAGCTAAGCCCCTGCTTTCCCCCACCGAGGTCCCCAAACAGTCTATGCTCAATGCAGCAGCTAGAGGTATCGTGTCAGGCAACCTCTCTCCTCTGCTCAAACCTCCCACTGACTCTCACTTCACCTGGAGTCAAGTCCAAACACCCCGCAATGGTTGACCACTTTGCATCCTCACCCCTGCCCTCAGCCAACCACACTGGCCTCCTTGCTGTTCCTCCAACGCACTAGGCAAACTGCCACCTCAGGGCCTTTGCACTGGTTGTTCCCTCTGCTTGGAACACTCTTACCTCTGATGGCAGCATGACTCCCTGACTTTATCGAGATCTCTGCTGAAATGTCTCCTCAGAGAGGCCTTCTACAAAGAGAAACACCCTCTTCCTCCCAATCCCCTTCCCCTGCTTTCTTCTTTCCTGGTTTCCTGTTAGCACTTAGCATCAGCTGACATGCATACACCCTTTCTCTCAGTTAGTCTAGCTTTCCCCCGTGAACGCAGAAGTTTTTCTATCTTGTTCAGGGTTGTATGCCCAGGCTCTATGAAAGGGGTTGGTATGTAGTAGGTGCTCAATAAATGCTGAAGGAAGAAAGCCAGCCTCAAGACTGGCCCTGCCTTTTTGGCTTGGGATCCTTCCCAGGTTTTGTTCCTTCTGATCAGCTTTTGCTGTCCCCTCATCTTTGTCCAGTTGCTTACTCTTTGCCCTGCCCACAGCCCCGTCCCTCAGCCATCACCCCTCCCTCCCACATTCACCCTGCCCCCTGGCTCACCTGCCTCCATGGCCAGCACCGTGATGTTGTGCCAGCCGGCTGTCTCTCGGTCCAGCCCCTTGCCTGTCACAATGGCGCCTGTGTCCGCATCAATATCAAAGATCTGGTCCAAATCCGAGTCGCGGTCAATGGCATACCTGAGGAGGGCAGGGCGGGTTTGACTGAAGGTGGAGCCCGTGCCCTCCACCATACTCCCAAAGAGGGACCACCTGCTTGGGAGACACAAGGAGCAAGAGAGATCCTTTCCAACGGAATGGAAAGGGATCTGGTTTGCATCTCAGTTGCCCTAGGTACCTGCTGTGTGACCATGGGCAGCTCTCAACCTTTCTGAGCCTCACTTTTCTCTGCTGGGTAATGGGGCTAATAATTTGCATACCACAGCAGTTGTGAGGGCTGGAAGAAGGCAAAGTGGCCAGCACAGAGTCGGCACTCATGGACTATTTAATTCTTATGTTTCTGTAAGAGGTGACCCTAGAATTGGGCTTGAGAAAGGGACAGGGACGGCATGCCAGACAGGGGGAACAGAAAGTGCAAAGGGTGGGGAGAATCATTCAGGAAAGGGAAAATGGTGCAAAAGATGGCCAGAACTGGGAAGTAGGGAGGGGCAGCACCGGAACACGGAGAGTGCAGAATTCAGGGGGGTGACGCGGCCCAGGGAGCCAAGGGGAATTTTGAGCAGGAGGGAGGGGGTCAACTCTGCCGCTGTGAGGCTGTCTGGAGGCCCCAGGGCAGGGACAGGGGCTGAGCAGAGGGCAGGGCGGAGGGGTCTGGGGGGATGGCCGCCGGCCCCTCCCCGCCAGCCCAGCACGCCGCGTGCTAATCTGCGGCTTTTCAGTTGCCGCGTGAAAAAGCCCTTTGTTCCGCCTTCTTCCCGGGCCTTTGTGCGGCGGCTCCAGGCCTGAAAGGCCCGTGTCCAACACATGTCTCGGGCGGCGGCGGCCCAGAGAGGCCCCGCCAGCTCTGGCCGCCGCTTCCCCGCGCTGATAATGCGGGCGGGGGCGCCGCCAGGCTTCGAGACCGACAAAGGCCCGGAATGCCAAGCAAGGGCGCTTTGTGCTGCCAGTACAAAGGAGCGTGGTGGGGCGGGGCTCCGCCCCAGCTCTCCCGCCGCCCTCTCCGGCAGGAGAGGGGCCTTCCCCCATCTTCCAGAAGGTGAAACTGAGGCCCAGGTAGGGGAGGACACCAGAAACTGCCTCTACTGGGGACCCCAAACCCCGAGATGACCCTTCAGTAGGGCCCTGGCTGCATTACCAAACCTCTCTGAGCCTCAGTTTCCTCATCTGTTGAATGGGGATAATGGCACCCAGGGGGTACTGACAGATCTGGGGGCAGACAGAGCTGGCTTTGAATCCTCTGTACTTATTTTACCTGTGTGACTTTGGACAAGTCATCGGACCTCTTGGACCTCTGTTTGCTTGTCTGGAAAAGGGGGTGATTCATACTCACCTCACACAGTGTGGGTTAGAGGTAATTTATGGAACTCGGTAACAGCCCTTATTGTTTTCATATTCACTGTTGTGGTGGAGGTGAAGGCTTGTGGCAAACTGTAAAGCGCTGTATCTATGAGTGTAGTGGGCATTACAGTCTGTCTCCTGAGTCCCCAGTTCATTGCTCCTTCCTGTCCCTGAGATGCTAAGCCCACATCCTCTTTGGCCCTGATCAGCCTGGATCCTCCTGACCTGGGTGAAAGTGTGTGGGGAGGTTCAGACCCAAGATAATAATTCCTCCCATGAATATAGGACTGAACAGTTTGTAGCTTCTTTTTTCTTCCAGCCATCCCTCAGTTTGTTTCTTTATGCCTAAACTTCTCTGTGCTGCTCTGTGCTAAGCCCTGGGGATAAAATGGCAAACAAGACAAACAAGTTCCCTCCTTGCCTGGCATCTTGTGTGGCTGATGTGATCTCACCCCATTTTGCAGATGAAGACACTGAGGCTCAGGGAGGAAACCTGCCAATCTTAGGACTACCGAGTATGGTTGTGTGTCCTGCACAAAGTTACCAGGCTAAAGAGGGGAAGTGGCGGGGGAAGTCTAGCCAGTGTTCTGCCCGCCCAGTTGTGTGTCCTAGCCCAGGGAGCATCTTCTCAAAGTGGGGACCTTTTTCCTATTTAAGTCAAGTTTCCATATGGGCTAGCAATAACCCTCGCCAAGGTTGCACAGGGACTGTCACAGAATTGGAATTTGTACCCCAATTTGGGACTCTATGCCCAGAGTTCTTCCTAGTGTGCTGAACCATCCAAAGTGGCAATGCATGGAGCCTCAGGTTCCCTTTGCCCCAAGCCCGACCCTGTCAGATGTTCGGGTCCAGAAGAGGTAGAACCAGATTCTTGAGTGTTGGCTTAGCTGGAAGGAACCATGGAGACTTCCTCCTGATTTTACAGGTGGAAGAACTAAGCACAGGAAAGGGCCAGGAGCGTGGGCGACACGGCCTGGGGCTCTGATTGCTGCACGTGAGGCAGGGCTGGTGGAAGGATGCCCACCGCCTTTTTGTTTCTCCTCCCCTCTCTGCTTAGACCTCTCTCCTCTCTTCTCCCTCCTCCTCGTCCTCCTCCCCCCTCTTTTGTTCCCTGCTAGAGGAGAAGCGGGGGCTGGAATGTAAGTGGAGGCAGCTGTTCTCAAGGCCAGGGGGCGGGGACCATGGGGAGGTGCCATTAACCAGCTAGGGACTTGGGGCTGCCGGTCAGTGTGGCTGGCTGAGCCCAGGTGGTTTTTTGTTCCAGCTCAGGGAGCCAGCGAGTAAGTGGGAGGAAGGGGTGGAGGGGCATGTCGTGTGGCAAGGAGCGTGGCCTGGCAGACATGGAGGGCAGCGGGGGAGGCTTGTACACCTCACATGTAGGTGCATGAGTTGTGGGTCTGGTCTGTGTTGGGAGTGGAAAGCGTGTATATGTCTGTGTGTGTGCGTCTGTGTGATGCTGTGTTGCAGTTGGAAGAACAAAGCTACAAGAGGCAGCCGCTCAGCCCTGGGTCTGGATCCAGGTCCACGATGTCCCTGGACAAGTCACCTCATCTTGAGCCTTAATCTCTAGCAAAATGGAAATAATTTTACTGCTACCTTGCAAGTGGTTGGGAGGATTCAGTGCCTTGCTGAGGGATAGGTGCCTAGCCAAGTTCTAGGAAAATGACTCTGTGAGAACATTGTTATTCTAATTAGCATTTAGAAATGTCTGGTACACAGGAGACCCTCCAACCCAGCATGTGGTCTGTGTGCCGGGGGTTGGGAGGCATCATGTCTGGACATCGGACAGTGGTCTCAGAAGGACAGGAGGCAGCTGTGGGTCTAGAAGGTTCTCTTTGAATCCCATTGTCCTACTCATTTGGTCAGCCATGACCTGGAGGGCAGGAAGGGGAACATGAGCAGGTGTGGGTGGAAGAGCGCAGTGAAAGAGTGTGGGTGTGTCAGTGAGTGTGTGCATATGTGTGTGTGCAAAGGAGGCCTGAGAATGGTGGTCAGGAGATCGAGCTGTGTGACTTTGAGCAAGTCACTTAACCTCTCTGTTCTTCAGTTCCCTTCTCTTAAAAATGGAGCCAATAATAATGCCCACCTCGCAGGGTGGTTGTGAGGATTAGACAAGTACTACCAATAAAACACTTTTAATAGCGCTGGTCATCTGCCACATGATGTAAGGATTAGCTCTTATTCTTTGTTCAGCAAGACTTTGTGCCAGGCCTGTGGAAGGGCTTCACCTGCATGAGCTCCTCCAATCCTTGCAGATAATGTCGTCGCTGCACTGCCATTTTACACTCGAGGAAACTGAGGCTCAGAGAAGCCAGGTGTCTTGCCCTGAGTCCAAAGGGCTGGTTAGTGGCAAAGCCGAGGTCCCCAGCCACAGCTGTCAGTCCAGAGCCCCAGGTCTAACTAAGAGAGCCCTCCTCAGGACCAGCAAGTTCTACCTGCAGCCACTTCCACAAGGTAGGAACATGGAACGCTGCTGTTGTCAAGGTCAGGGTGAGAGAAGAGGGGAGGGTACGTCTTCCTGGCTTGAGGATGCACATGGTTTTTCTCCATAGAAATATGTGCACATATAGCGCACACAGACATGAGAAACATGAAAGTCAGCAGGCTCGCGTGTATCCAGGCTGCCCGGGGCTCCTGAGTCCGGGCTTGTGTACATAAAGGTCTACGTGCAGCAGGGCTGAATGACCCGGCCTCCACCTGAGCTTCTAGTGGGGGCAACTCTTCAGATGCCAAAGGGGCTGCTCCCTTGCCCAAGGGATATCCCCCTCCACTCGCTCCATCCTGTCTGTGAGTCTTTCCCCTCCCCCACCCTTTTTAAAGCACGCACTCAAAGCCCCCACTTGATGTCTAGAAATTTGAATATAGTCAGTACTGGCTGTGGAATGAAGGGGAGAAACGGGTGTCTAGACAACTGAGAAAAATGGTAAAGCCCATTTCCTGAGGGCCTACTGAGTTTGAATAACATGTTTATGATTTTTATGAGTGACAGTCACAGCTAAATGTGCCAGCAATTAACTGTGAGATCTTTGGTGATGTTATAATAAAATAATAATAATAAGTCCTAAAAAAAAAAAACCTCCAACTTCAAACCACCAAACACAGAACATGATACATAGTAGAAACTTAATACCTATTTTTTGAATAAATGAATGAGGCAGGTGCTACTGTGACGCCCATTTTAGAGATAGGAAAACCGAGGTTTGGAGTAGGTGCAATGATTTGCCCACAATTCTACAACTGAGCTGGGATTCAAACCCAGGTCTTCTCTGATTCCAAAGCCCATGTCCTTTTTGCTGGACCCGACTGTGGAGTGCTGGGAGGAAATGAAATATTTGCTCCCTCTGGTCCAGCGCGGGCTTTCCTGTTTTTGATGTTCAAAGGAGACTCACAGTGGAGCTGGGGCTGGTAGGGCTGTGGCTGGGCTGGTAAATGGCCAGGCTATCTTTCAGGCTGCCTAATCCAGAGATGAGCCCATCTGAGCCCTCTCCTCCTCCTCTCAAAAGCCTTCCAAGGCTTCCCACGGCCTAAGGATAAAGTTCTATACCTTCATCAAGGTCCTTGGCAGCTTGTCCCCAAGTGCCCCTCCCTGATCTCATTTCCCCCTCCCACTCCCCCCTCCCACCGCCATGTGAACTTATCCAGCTGAGCTCCCTGCTCCTGAATTTAACCTCCTGGCTCCATGATTCTGTTCCTGCCACCAGGCCCTCACTATCCCTTCACCCTGGAGTGCCCTCTTCCCATTCCAACCTCATCCTCTTGGTCCTTACTCAGGGGCCACCCCTCCTTGGTACCCAGAGTCGTCGCCACCCCCTCCACCCCGTGGAGCTCCTTAATCCTTAAGCCCCTGCCTTAGCCCATTCAGATCTGTCACTAGATTCACTCACTTGGGATCCCAGCCCTTGCATCAGCCCATGTCCGACTCATCTCTGTGCCTGACACACAGGGGAGGGCATGGCATAAGGTCGGGAACTGCTCTAACGGCAAAGAGAGTCCAAGCATGGATGAAATGACAGGAGGCTGGACTCAGGAAGCAGGTCATCATTGGTTAAATCCCATTCCTTCCCCTGACAGGTTACATACTGACCAAATGTAACATAACAGTATGACACATCCTCCAATCTCTCCAGTGCAGGGACTCAGAAAATTTACTCTGTACACCTGCATTTCTGTATTTCCCAGCTGCTGCTATGCTAGGCAAAATCTCCCAGGATGCCACTTCATTTCTTCATTTCCAGAACATACTGAGCTTGTTCCTGCCTCAGGACTTTTGCCCTTGCTGTTCCTCCTACCTGGAATGCACTGCCTCACATCTTTGTGTGATTGACTCTGTCTTTCTCATTCTGATGCTCATTGGTCAACTCCTTGACCACTCAATCCAAAGTTGTCCCCTGTGGCCCCAGTAGTCCTTATCCTATTATCCTGCTAATTTTTTTCATAGCTTTCATCAGCAATGACCCCTTTTAACCATTTGCTGACTACTTGTTGACTGTTCCTCTCCTTCCCCAAGTGAGGGCAAACTTCATGAGGGGAGGGACTGGGTCTTATCATCACTGTTTCTCTATTGCCTAGATCAGTGCCAGACATGACATGACTAAAGGCGTAGGTGTTGACTAAGTCCCTGAGCTTTGGAACTTGGGAGCTGGAGGATAACCCGGGCTCTGGGCCACAAATGTGGTCTGTGAGGACCCCTTGTCTGGCCTCCCATTTCTACATCTGTCCTCTGTAGACTAGGGACTCCTCCCCGGCACTGCCCTTCGCTGAGTCATCTCAGGCCTGGCTCAGGGCCGGCACGGAGGAGGAGGAGTTGAGTAAATGTTTGTGGTGTTAAATTGGACCTGTCTCAAGCTCCTCACCGCCTCCACATCTGAGGAGCCCCAGGGAAGGGGCGGCAAAGAGAGATGAAAGGAGGTGAAAAGCAGGTTTCAAAGTTGGCCCTTTCAGTGCAGATAAAAGCAGGGGGGAAGGGAAGCCAACGGAGGGAGGAGGGAGAGGACTGAGAAGGGGTGTGGAGAGCAATATTGGAGAGGAAGGGAGCAGGCAGATTGGAGCACCTACCTGGGAGGCCAGGATCAGGCTCTACTCCTGGTTCTTAACTCCCTCTGAGAACCTGGGGAAGCCTCCACGCTTCCCAGGCCTCATTTCCCTGATAAACATGGGTGATAAGGCTCTCCTGGGAGAGATCTGGGACTGAGCTAGAGGCTGACAGAGATGTTTAAAGCCTGGGCCTCCCGACAGTGGGGATGGAAGGGCGGCAGAGGAGTTCAGAGGCGGTGGAGGGCCATTTCTGCCACGAGAAGGGTGGAGACAGCCCAGGAGGCATTCTGAGCTCCGTAGCCTAACTTTAAGGCTGTCAGAATTCTGCCGGCTCATTCCCCTCAGTCTCCAGCAGCTATCAGATCTAGTCTTCTCTGCGCACACCTACCATGCCCTCTGCCTCCACAGCCCTGTGCTTGGAATGCCCTTCTCATATTTACATCTGGCCAGACCCACAAACCCAGCACAGTTCAATTCCCACCTCCTCCAGGAAGTCTTTCTAGATCCCTGAGGTGAGTTCCCAGTCTGGGAACCCATGGGTCGTTAAGCAGAATGGTATCTTTGTGTCCTCATCTAGGGTTGCCATGGAAGGTTGCACAGGCTGCATATAGCTACCAGACAGCCAGCCATTCACACAGACGACCATGGGAATGTTATTCTCATCCATCCCACCATGCCCATTTGCCCCACCCCAGTCTCCTCCTCTGGATCATTTTCTATCTGCCATTCTTCCATCTTGGGCCACAGTCAGGGACTCCCCAACCCCTGCAGTTCCCAAACCCTTTTAGGGCCACTGACAGCGTGGCAGCATCCCCTCCCCTCCACCCGCCTGCCTCCCTCCCTGCTCTTCCCCTCTCTCTGCCTCTGTTTCTGTTTCTTCCCCTTTCTGGCTTTCTCTCCAAGTCTCCTCTCTCTGTTCCCACAGTGCCACGTAGGTCCTTCTGTCTTCAGTTATTCCTGCCCTCTTTCCACTGGCTCTCCTCTCTCTCAGATCACTTCCTCTCGCTGTTGGTCTCTCTTCCTCTCTGTGAGTCTCTCTGTCTCTTTTCTCTTTGTTTTTTACATTTAGTTCATTTGCCATGCGGCAGTGAGTGTCCACCAGGCAGTGGGTGAGGTCCTGAGGATACCAGGACACAGTGGACACAGACAGTGGACACAGACATGCATCCCCACCCTCCTGGAGCCTCCTGTTCAGGGAGGACAAACAAAGTCAGCAGAAAAATAGGCAGTGTGTTTGATGGTGATGAAGACTGATGAGGACAAAGGAAAATGGATATGGAGTCTGGGGGCAGGAGGCTGGGGTGGGATTGACATTTCATAAAGAGTGGTCAGGAAAGGCCTCACTGAGAAGGTGGATCCTGAGGAAAGTCCTGGAGGAAGTGAGAGGACCAATCATGGGGATATTAAGGGGGAGAAGATTCTAGGTAAAAGGATCGGGAGTTGCAAAGGCCCTGAGGTAGAGGAGGGTGTGGTGTATCTGTACAGCTGTGAGGAGGCCAGTGTGGCGAGCAGAACGAACAAGGGAAGGAGGGCAGTGGGAGGTGGCGTCTGAGATGTTACAGTGAGGCCACATCACGTAAAGTCTGAGGGTCATTATGAGGGTCTGGTAAGAGAGCCAGAGAGGTGCCTTTGGAGGGGTTTGAGCAGAGGAGGGCCACACCCTGCTTTACATTTGGGTGGGATCAGTCGCTCCTGTGCTGATGCTAGATTCAAGAGGGGTGAGGACAGGGAGACCAGCGTAGAGGCAGTAATCCAGCCAAGAGAAAGCAGTGGCCTGGACCAGGGAGGCAGCCACGCTGGAAGTGAGAAGTGGTTAGATTGTGGAGATGTTTTTAAAGCGGAGATGACAGGACTTGCTGATGGATTGGAGGGAGGTGTGAGAGAAAAACAGAAGTCAAGGATGTTTTCAACATTTTTGACCTGAAAAGCTGGAAGGATGAAGGGGTGTGTATGTGTGTGTGTGTGTGTGTCCCAGGCTGAGCCCAGTTCCCGCGCTATCTGTTATACCTGGTTCTCCCTCCTTATCCTGAGTCCCTTGTCTCCCTGCAACTGTTCTCAAATGTGTTTCCTTTGTCTCTTTGGCTCCCGGCCCGTTTCTCTGCTTCTCTGTGTCCTCTCTCTCTCTCCTCCCTCCCGCCTCTTCCTCCTTCTCCTCCCGCCCGGCCCCTCCCTCTCGCCCG